TGAACACAACCACAAACTTGTCCAAATAAGGATGGAAAATCATGTTCATATACTCCATAAATACACATAGTGCATTAGTCACACCAAATGGCATCACGAAATACTCATAATGTCCATACCTTGTTTTAAAAGCAGTCTTATGAATATCTTCAGCCTTCACACGAATTTGATGATACTCAGATCTCAAATCTATCTTACTGAACACACTTGCAACAATCAACTGATCCATCAAATCATCAATCCTTGGAAGTGGACACTTATTCTTGATAGTCACCTTGTTCAATTGTCTATAATCCACAAAAAGCCTCACAGAACCTTCTTTCTTCTTAACTAACAAAATTGGTGCACCCCACGGTGACACACTCGGACAAAAAAGTCTCTCCTCAAGCAGATCTTCAAGTTGATTCTTCAACTTCTTCGATTCCGGTTGGACATACGATATGGAGCCATCGCTACCAAACTAGTTCTAGGAACTAGGTCGATTGTAAACTCCACTTCACGTTCCGGCGGTAAATCACTTATCTCATCAGGAAAAACTTTCGGATAATCACAAATAATTGGCACACCACCAACTTCCCCACTTTATTAACATTCGAAGTTTCCATCAAAATAAACATCTCAGCACCATCCTGTACCGACTCACCAAAACAATCGGTAAGCACTTAGCTTAACTCAAAACAATTCACTGCACACGCCATCTAAGCTTGCAAGACACGTCTATCCCATCCAACATAACTCCGTCTCCTATCAACAAGAGATTAAGCGTGATCATTTCTTCAATTTGTCAATAGACAGCCGAAAATCATGATGGGCATAAACCATCTTTACCAAACTATAAGAGCGTTCATCGACACACTGAGCCACCACTCCACAATTGAAGCATCCTGGAGAAGCACAAGCTTCTCCCCCACTTGTTTCATTCCCACTTCTGCAGACAAAGGTTAGAAAACAAACGTATACCGACAATGTTTTCACACACATGTCACATACTAGGGCTCAAATAACATTAGACAACTTTGTCGGACGGACCAACCAGGTTCTGATACCACTAATGTAACACCCTTTTCTACCCTAAAAATATAATGGCAAATCATTCACATTTATTAGAGTAATATTTTTAACATAATAAAAATCACCTTAAAGGGCGTATATTTCTCAATAATTCAAATCAAAGTCAATGCTCCGTAAACAACAGGTTTTCCCAAAATTACTCAAAAATTGCTCAAATGGCAGCGGAACTCAAAAAGGAAAATCCAAAGTTTTCCTTGCACAACAACATAATCAAAATAACAAAAATCAATAAAACATGGTTTAACTCAAAGACTCCAACTCGATGTTACACTATCAGAGCAAGACCCTCTAAGTCAACCAAAATGTCAAAAACTCCAAAAAGTCCACGACGGCATCCACGACTAAACCTAGTCATCTGCACGTTACCCATATGGAGGTAACATTCAAACAAGCAGGGTGAGTAAAACCATTCATAATAATCAATATAGAAATCAATATATAAAATAGTGTCATTTTCATATTCAACATCATCATAATCATCAAGGAAATATCAAAAAAAACATAATATCATAAATTGCACCAAATTGTCACATAAATGCAACGAGACTCATGCATGTGGTACCAATTCATCAAAGTTCGATGGACACTGGGCCATCAACCCTTCATAGATCTCCATCAATAGGATTAATTCTACACAAGAACCGGAGCACAACAAAATACTTCACATCCGCACAATGGGACTGAAGCCACAAGAATCAAACGCTAGACCGAATCCCGGAATGCATATGAATGCATGATGCACACGTCAATATCATCCTTATAATAAACTCATTAGGTGCATTATCATTCATCAAAATTATCATAATAATTATGTCATCATATAATCATCAAAAACTCATGGAATCAACATCATAACTCATCGTCATTACTCATAAGAATCATCATACAATCATATATTAATCACATATGAATCACATTCATACTCAAGGTAATTCTCCAGAAAATCACAACATCAAAACATCAAGATAGCAGTGCACAAGAACATAATTGACTTCCCAAACATATTAGATATAAACATGTTGGGAAACTAATTCTCTTATCTATACCATGTTATAGCCCTGTTCATTAGCTTTCCAGGGCTTCAAACGGTGACCAAAACTGACTTACGGATCAAAAGTTACGTGCAAAACGATTTCGACCGAAAATATGAGCAGTCGTGACGGACAGCATGCAGAATTTTCTGCGTTTTTCACCGTTGGAGGCCTTCCGGACCTCCGATTTTGATTTTGTAAACACCTAAACTCTCAAAAAATTACAACCCATTCAACACTGTAATTATCTCAAGTAAATTTATAATTTTAACACAATTAAACCATATAATCATTGTTTTAAGATTATGCCTAAAACCTCTTAAATTAATGGATATATGTTAAATTCTCAAAAAATCCTTACAATTTTCCCACATTCATTAGATTTCTTATAATCAATTACCCTATACGATTAAAACCTCAACAACAGATTTTTAACCACGACGACCTAATTTCCCTTACTCCCAAATCAGTCTCAAACCTATCAGACCATCAATTCAAATCCCTCAAACTCATTAAACTCACCAGAAAGCAACAACAATTCAATACTCAAAATCCCTAAACCCTTAAATCGGCTTTAAATACATTGAATCATATGTTGAAAACAATGAAGGAAATATTATTCATACTTAAACAACCTCAAAAACAGATTTGGCCAGAAAGGCCTAATTTCCTCAAACTCAAAAACCTCCTAAATTCTTAAATCGGGTTTAAATACATTGAATCACATATTGAAAACAATGAAGACAATATTCCTTATACCTTAATTGTCGACTCTAAGCCTTTCTCATTGATTCTTGAAAACCTCGCGAAGCTTTACCTCAATCCTCTTCCTCAGAGCTCTGCCCTCTATTTCTTCTTTTTTCACGGTCTAACAAGAATGAATCATAATTCCCTCAAAATTCCTTTTTGTTAAACCTAACTTTGGGCCTTAAAATGGGCTTTCCAATTTCACCCTCACTAACTCCTCCTCAAAAGTCCACTTTGCCCCCAATTCACTTATATTTATTTAAATTAATAATAATACCAATATATTCATATTATATACTATTATTTAAATAAATAACTCAAAATTCATAATTTTCAATATTCACAACAACCACCGAAAATCACCAAAAATACGATGATTCATTTTTAAATAAATTAAATAAATATTCCAATAAATTTGGGGTGTTACAATCTGCTCCAATATTGTGCTGGCACCTCCTTCATATCCTTTCAAGCTGAATCATTCAAAGTCTTCATCCTCAACATTGTCCTCTCCCATCCTTGAATAGTTGTTGCTCTTGCAGCACTCCATAAAGCCTCTTTTAATTTCATAACAGGGTACTTTTATTTCCAGTTGCCATACAAATGCTTTACACATAGTCTTTGTTCCAAATGCTCACTCAAGCCTTGGACAGCTGGGACAAGACCTTATCAATTACAAGTCAATGCAATTAACCATTGTATACAACTTATATAAGTGATTTAAAAACAATAGTAGAAAATAATATAAAACAATAGTGATCTACCTTTTGCTGATCAGAAATGAAGGCATACTCCCTTCGATTTATGCTTTGCAAGTCTTCAAGTAAGAGATTTAAAAACCACTCCCAAGAGTCATTAGTTCCTGCTTCTACATTAGCATATGCAATTGGAAATATCAGGTTATTTCCATCCTTGCCTACAGCTGCCATCAACTGCCTACCATAATCTCTTTTTAAAAAACAAGCATCTAGTCCAATAAGTGGTCTGCAATAACAAGCAAAATCAGTCTTGCATGCCTCTAGACAAATGTATATTCTCTCAAAAACTGGGCCATCACTAGAATCTAAGCATTTCAACACAATGTTACTATGAGGGTTGGACTTAAGTAGCTCATTTGCATAAGTTCTTAGATGTGTAAACTAGTCCCTTCCTGCATCTTGAATAATATCCATTGCTCTTCTCTTAGCTCTATAAGCCTGGTCAGATAATAGTTTGACACCCCACTTATCAAATGTCAAAGCAACAAGCTGGTTTCAAATCAGGAGTATGCCTTAGTATATGGCTAAACTGCTTGCCCAACCATCCAGTTTTTGCTTGTCTATTCTGTACTACATACCTGAGACAAAACTTCTCCTCTTCGTTGCTTTTCGCTATAGCTGAAGGAATTTTGTCCAGTGCTTTTCTCCTACCAGACAACGTGCTAAGGCTTTGAGTGAAGTAATTGAGAAATTCTTAAAGACGATTTTTAGGATTCTAGGGTTCACAGAATTCAAATGGGGGAAGATACATGTTTTCTTCTTTTATGAATGGAGAAAGATTGAAATCTCTTCAGTTTAAGTTAATTAAAATGTGTTTTAATTTAAATGTTTAAAAAATTAAATATAATAAGTTTTAAATGACGTGGTAAATTATTTTTAGCATGGGTCAACATTTTACTGTGCCACATCAGCGTTGTCCATGCCACATAGCCCAAACTGAAGAAGGAATTAAGAAAATCCCAAAATAATTCAAAGAGAGAGACTTAAAAGCTGGATTTTTTTTTAAAAAGGACTTAAAAGTTTAGAACAACGTAAGTTGGAGGATTAAAACTGCATTTAAACCTAAAAATAATATGTTGTCATTTTTGTCATTATGAAGATGTAGAATGTCATGAGGTTACTAGAAGGAATACATTTGAATTTTGCCTGAATTCCTGAATTCCAAAGCAATAATAAGATAAGAAATCTAGGACAACAATGGATGTATCATAATGGAGTATCAAAACTGTGCATTGTAAAAGTCATTTTTCACTTTCTGTTTACAACATCATATCGATATTCTGCACTGTTTTTTCAGCACAATAAGAGTACAAATTTCTGAGATATTTACAATACAGGACATCATGTAAATTCAGTGTAATAAAAATATGTCTCCTTTTCCTAGTGCTGCTATTCAAGAATTTATTGACCAATCATAATTTTTGTATGATATATGAACAGGACCACCATCATCTAAGAGATGTGTTAAAAGACCTGTTTTGTTTGCATCCAAGTAGTTCATTATCCATTTCACCACATTTCTCTCATGCCCAAAATCTGCACTGTACCTGCCAGTAACAAAAATAAATAGTTCATAGGCATTGTGCTAGAAATTAATTTACATGCTTAGTCAAAACCAAGACCGTACTTGATGAAATGGTAAGAAATTTCTTTCAGTTTAATTAGAGATTCTGAATTCCCACTTAATATTGGACACAAAATGATGTTAAATTCATTTGAGAGGATACACAATTCCTACCGGAAAAAAAAACATGCAGAAGTTCAAAAACTGCTTACCACTTAAAAATTGGACTGAGATGAAGGGTCCTCTTCTCTAGGTCAACTTCAATTCCATCACACTCAAAGAACTCTCTAGCTGCACATCTCAATTCTTCTGCAACTCTACAAGGTGAGAAAAACCGCACCTTCGGGCTTGACTTTGTGCCATTACAAAGTCCAAAGTGAATCAAAGGATTCATTTTGACAACTGCAACCTATAGCATTGAAAGAATAAGTCAATAATTTCATCAACAACAACAAAGCCTTATTCCACTAAATGCGGTCGGCTACTTGAATCAACTTTAGGCACAAGGACAACATAAATTGACTGCACATGCTTTAAGATCAATCCCGGTTCAAAAGAATGAAAACACAAAAAACAAAAAAAAAATGAAAAACACAAATTTTGATTAGATTTTGACCAATTTTACCTACCTCTAATCGTATGTCCCTTGTACCAAAGGGCTTGACTAAGGAATAAGGTGACCTCCGATTGCTTCTAAGGATACCATTTATAATTGTGGCGAGAGAATAAGGATGTCCTCCAATCAAATACTGGAAATCCGAGAAGGATCTTCGGTTAATCACACCTTCTTGACACCCTACTCTTATCATAGCATGGATAACCATGGCATTGTACACATTTAAGAAGAAGGCGAGTTTCTCGTTTTCAGATAGTTCTAAGAGATCCACCCTCTGCAGATCTTGAGTCATGTTTACATACCTGCATTTTAAAATAGCTTTAGACAAATTAACACTTCTCAAAATAACAAAATCTAGATTTCATTCTTGTATAGGTAATGTCGAGATGAATTTCTGCTACATAATACTCTTTCTGGTTTTTATTATAAGAAAAAACTTACTTTTGGTCTATATAGTATTCCATATAAATTGGCACTAACACATAAATTTTTTGACAGTAATTTAAAAAAATAGAAGTAATTGAATGCAGCTAAATGTGTCAGGGTCGTGCTAATATCACCCATTGACTTGAGTTTCTAAGGAGTTACTTGTATAATAAGCAACCTTAGGGCTGTCATATCATGACTAGCGGTTATCGACTAAATATTTGCATATACAAAATACACCCAAAATATAAGCTTACGACAACAAGATTTACGACCGTACCTCCGAAATTCCTCACTTTTGCTGATGGCCACATAATCAACACGTCTCCTGTCTTCAGAAGCATAAGATTCAAGAATGGCAAACATAATCTTGGTAAGTCTATCACAAACTGTAGCTGCATTTTTCGGTTCACTGTCATTTGTGGCACCACGGAAATTGAAACATTTTGGTATAAAAGCTTCATGCTCAAGGAATCGGTAGAAGAAATTTTCCTCCTCGAAATTAATTTCTCTACATAAAAAAGTAGAGAGTAACAAGAACAAAATTAATAAAGGAACATCACTTATAACCACATTTTAGTTTGTTTTGTTTCATAGGTTACTTTCTTACCCGAAAACTGGATTGATGAAGTGCTTTTGGCATAACTGATTTCCGACCTCAACAGCCTAAGCATTTGTTTTGGAAGGAAAGAAACATTATGGTAAGAGAAACAACATTTGGAAACAATGTTTGTGATTGTAAAATTAAAACAAATCTAGCATACTTTTATTAAAGAAAATGGAATCGAAATTGTAAAATATTTTTTTATTGTCGATGAATAAGAGAGATGTATTTTGTCAAATCACATTTTTAATTTTAAAATATCGAAATAATATGACTGAATGATAAAATTTTATCATATGATTGGCGTTATTATTTAACTAAAAAACATTGAATAAAATTTTAAAGTTAATTTTAAAATATCAAATTTTTATTTTATATTTTATACTCTAGCAAATCAAATCAAAAAACGTATAATATCAATGCAACTGCAATTTGCAAAGCGTCATTCTTTTTTGCGGACTTATCAATCTAATAATAATATAATAATGTAAACCGGATGATTTATTCAAATTTTAAAAACAATTTAGGAAGTTTCCTTTGTATTTCACCAAAAGAAATTAACATAAATGTTTTCGACTTTTTCTTTTTGAGGAAATGTTTTCCATTTCTACATGTTAAACTTTGAATTATCAGTAACTTGAAAGACACACGTGTCGCTTGTGGAGTGAAGAAATAGATACTCCCTTCATCTTAAAAAAATAATTACAATTTTACCAAATTATTTGATATGGTGTAACTATCACTAATGTAAAGGCAAAAAATTTATGAATTTTTTAAATATATTAATTAGAAGATAATTTGGAAATATAAATTAAAAATTTCATGAAACTATAAAGAAATTAATTTTTGGACAAATAATTTTAATAAATGTAAAACTATTTTGGAACAAAGGAATTACTAAATTTATTTTATTTTTATACGAAATCTATGAAATAATATCAATTCAACATCAAATAACCAAAAACGGAAGTCAAGTCAAAGATATAATTTAAAACCAAATAAATAATAATTTAATTTGTATATAATACTTTTAATCAAATTTCACTATTTAAATATTTGGATCTATATAAAACTCAAATCATAAATTATTTTATGATAATTTTTATTTCTAACTCAAATAAACAATCCTTTACTAAAAAGCAAATCATAAAATTATTTAAATATACTTCTAGTAACGAGTATTTGACCAAAAATTAAATATATTTATAATGATAAACAAGTTAACCATCCTATCAACTTTTCTTTAACAAAAACTTAAAAAAAAATTCCAACAAAAGTGAAGCATGCATCTTTAAAAAAAATATCAATTACTATTACTTTTAACGAAAATTTTATAATCTCTCAAAATCAAAATATGAACCCAAAAAAAAACAATTGAAGTCAAATATCATTTTTTTTAACTATTGAAGTTATCGTCAAAAAACAATATGAAATTAAAAATTCCAACTAAAAATAATCAAAATTAAAATAATAATAATACCTCATCATGAGCATATCCATGGTGACGAACAAGAAGCTCCACCAACTCACTCCCAGCGAAACAGTTTCTCACAATCTTCATCTTCATCAACCGATCTTGAATCGGTAACCTCTGTCTCAACACTCTCACAACCTTCACCATCTCCTCCTCCGCCAGCACCTTCTCCTCAACCATCTCATCAAATCCATACTCCGGCGGCACCGGGATGCCGTCGCCGGAAAACTTTCCGTTACCAATTTCAATCAACTTATTCTCCAATTCACCGCCTTCATTCTTCCTCATCGCATTCAACTCCACCAATCCTCCAATCAGCTTCTGGTTGAAAAAAATCTTCGGAACATTCGTGTTTCCCGTTCTCTGATTCAGCTCCTTCTCTCGTTCGGTATACACATCGATGTTGATTTCAACGAATTTCAATCCTCTTTCTCTGAAGAAACTCCGAACTGCGGAACAGTCTCGGCAGTTGGATTTTGAAAACAACGTGATTCGAACTTTCCCCAACGACAAGCCGTTTTTGGCCTCTACCACGACTTTTAAACCGGATAGTTTGAATTCGGTAACATCGTTATTCGACTTGTTGTCGTTCTTTTCATCGATTGAGTTTTTGAGAGATGAGATCGTTCGCGATATTGCTGAGGATAGGTTGTTACTTCGCTGACGGAAGAAAGTTTTGAAGGTTGATGATGGAACGACGTCGTTTGGGTGGTTCGGATTTGAAGTGGCGAGTGGCGGTGTTGGTTTCGGGAGAAGTGAATGAGGTTGGACTATTGAGAGAGTTTTTGCAACGGAAATGTTACCGTTAGTGACTCTGTTTGTGTTTGTTGTTTGGTTTTGAATGTGTTGTTCTACGTCAGAACCCATTTCTAAGTCGAAAGAGGATGAAGAAAATGAGGGAATGAAATGGTATTTAACGTGGAGGATTTGATGATTGATTGAGTCCAAAAATGATAACTTGGTGATGAATGATGATGGAGAATGGAATAGGGATATTGACAAAGGTGTATAGGGGATGTACGAGGGATGGAGTCGGATAATGTATACTAGTACAAGACGGACATGGTCTTTTTGATGCTAGTGGTGATTTTTTTATCTCTAATTAAAAAATAAATTGATTTTATAGACTAAAATAATTGATTTTATAAAATTTATATTAAAAGAGGAATAAATAAATTGGCTCTAAGTCACGTGAGATGTGGGACAGAGGAGTAATAATCTATTTAAAGATTAAACATTTGTTTGGTCAAATTTTAAGATTAAAGATATACTAATATCTTTCCAACAAATATTGGAGATTTAATTGATGTTATTAATGATTAATATAAATTTATTTCCACTGTAAATATTATTATAATTTGTTACTTATTCTGTCTACCTAATATTTATTTAATTTTAAAATTTTAAATTATGGTCAAATTATTATAATTTATGACTTATTCTGTCTACCCAATATTTTATTAAATTTTAAAATTTTCTTTTAAGGTTAGTGAAAAATTATATATATATATATATATATATATATATATATATATATATATATATATATATATATATATATATATATATATATATATATATATATATATATATATATATATATATATATATATATATATATATATATATATATATATATATATATATATATATATATATATATATATATATATGGAGTTGATTAACTTAACATTATTATGCGGCCAAAAGCTTAAATCGTTAATGTTAAGTTAATCAACTCCACATCACACAAGTTATAAAAGTCATTTCGCACAAAATGCAAGATATATTTTTTTTATCTCTACTTTTCATAATAGTCACATTGAATCTTGAAATGACTTAAGTGTTGTAGTGTTAATCTTGTAGATCGATCGTATTTTAGAGCAACACTACCGATTTAGGATTTCACATCACTAGCTTTCACTTAATTTTGATGCCAGAATGAAACATTGGCGTCGTCTGTGGAAATTGACCTCTTATTTCCACGGAAAAATCCTCGAATAGATCGATCTAAGATCCGAAATTAGATTTGTATTAGAGTTATCAAAGAATGTAGGTAACTATTAGAACTTGGAATCACCCGGTTAGTGAAAATGGAGAGAGAGAGAGAGAGAGAGAGAGAGAGAGAGAGAGAGAGAGAGAGAGAGAGAGAGAGAGAGAGAGAGAGAGAGAGAGAGATGCATATTACATTGATAATGATACCTCCAAGTGTTGCACCCCAAAATTTGTCCTAGCTCTTTCTAACTTTGGCTGACTTTTGCTTCGCGCTCATTTGCATCATCATTAGTTCATAATTCATAATCATACTTTGCATTGGTCTTCTAAGACATGGGATCAGGAGTTTCTCTGAATCAGATCATCAAATATCAGGCTTACATTCTTCAAGAGTTGTCAGGCATCAAGGGCCTAGGGTTTCATCACCTCTTGATTTGAATTTGTTGGCGAGCTTGTGTTCAATTGGCTCGAGGTTAGGGTTTGCCTCTCATCATGGATAGGAGCTCAAGGTTATCAAGAGCGGTGGTATAGCTTCAATTTGAGAGTGGTTATCCAGTTATGATCAGATAGAAGTTTGACCTCATTTTGGTCAAACCATCAAGAGCTTGCTTCTTTTTCAAGTTACCTACATCAGCGGCTATTTCCCCGACAATGTGTATTCAAGGCCAATTTTGTTCTGTGCAGAGGTTGTCAGGTTATCAAGTACTGGCTCTTGGAGAGTTTGGTCCAAAGGTCAAGATCATCACAATCATAGGTTTATTTTGTTTCGTGTGTGGATTTATTTTCCCGATGATTTATTCAAATAAATTCCAAGTGATTCAGGAGATTTCAAGGTTGGCTCGTTTCAGATGGTTGTCATTTCTGTTGTAAGTGGTTCAGTGGCTTTGATGTGCATTTAATTGGATGTTGGTGGAAAGTTTGAAATAGGTTTTGGGCTCATTTCGGCTGAGTTCATAATCCACTAAAGTCCATGTCCATCCATTTGCCATTTCTTTTTCAAATTCAATTAACCGTCCTTCAAATCCACCTTTCAATTTAATTCATTTTTTTAGATCCATTTTTAATGACCTATATCCATTCAAATATCCAATTATCCAATTCATATTTCCTAATCAATTATTCATTTTACCATCATATTGTTCATCGACCATAAATCTATATCTTTCTTATTTTGTTCAAAAAATTACTTTCCTTTAAACCATATTTTTTCCCATCTTTTAGACAAATTTGTGTTTATGTTCATTTTGCTTAGAGTTTTAATCCACTTTTTGATTAATTAATATTTCCATGTCTAATTGGAATTCAACATTCGTTTTTGTACCCACTTTATTTCAATTAATTTCCTAAGTATGAAAGGTGAGTTGTTTATGAGGACATCAGGTAAGATGGCTAAGGAGAAAGAGAGATGGTTTCATTGGATCCATGAATTTACTAGCACGAAGAAGGTGGAAATGTTGTTTCTCTATGTTGTTGTTTTCGTCTGGGTTTGATACTTGGTAAAAGCTTAAGTACAATGTGGCCAAGGAAAGATAATTACATAGCAGTAAAAATGCAGGTTATAACCAAAACAAAGGTCACAACATTAATTTTTTCTGAAAATTCACAGTAGTACATTACAAAATTCAATAAAAATACAAATTGTACAACCACAAAACTTCCACTACCCACAAACTGCCGCTCTTCTCTAAACCGTACAAGCCACTACAAATGATACCCGCACAGAGTCCTTGAGGCACGGCCTGTGTACATTAGCAGAATTTCACAGAAGAACAACTCATTTGCCAACAATCCCTCGGGACCACTTCCTTTTGATTCCGCAGGCCCTGTTGCTTTTGTCGTGAGGGAGCTCTTTGTTTTATTATCAAAATGTTTCTCTCAAACAACCAACACTGCCATCATCCTGTCAACATACCAATAGCTTCTGCAACAAGACAGATTTGTACCGAGAAAATTAAAAGAAGAAGTTTGAGCAGTACAAATCCATGATACAGGAAATTCACCCTACATAACTGGATACATATCAACAGCCTGCTCCCACTCATACACAGCAGATTTCACAGAGAATTCAAATGAAAAAAAATCTTATCTTACCCCTCCACAAATACTGATAACAGACAGCAGCAACGAAATTCAAAAAAGGAGACTGTTCTCCATCTTTCCCACCACCTTTATCTTTTTCATTGACCTTGGAGCAAGCAAAAATACCAACATCACGAACTCATCATTATCTTCCCAAATTCGTAACCTCATAAACCCATAACTTTAAAGATACACAGCGCAAATCCTTCACCATCTCCTTCGATCTCATCGTCGTCATTATTATATGACCATCATCCTTTTCAATTCTTCATCAACCTAACATCAATAAAACCCACAACCTGCAACAAAATCCAAAGAAGTAATATCAACATCACTCTCAATCATCAAACAAAATCACATCAATACGCAACATATGACAACGAGCGCAAATTGAAGATAAAGATGAAATAGAAGAAGCACAGTGAAGATTGAAACCAGAATTTGAGCAACACACGCATACCTGAATAAGAGGCTGAAGGTCTTTGATTTCTCAAAGATTTCCTTCCGTTCGAAGAAGCACCGAACTTTCTCCGGCAGGTAAAAAATGCTGAGCCTCCTAGCCACGTCATCCCTTTCTCTATTCCTTGATCTGTGCGTGTATAAAGTAGGCTTGAGGGTGGCCTAACAGGTTTAGAGTTAATTTTTATTTTAATATAGAATTTGTTTAGACTTTAATTAACGTTAGTATTATATTTAGCTTTGGAACTAGTTTTTTATTAGAATTAGATTTTATTTTGGAATTTAGTTTTAATTTAGACTTTAATTGATTATTTAGAATGAGATTAGTCTTTAACTATTTTTAGTATTAGCTTAATCCTAGAATTTAATTAGATTAGGTTTTAATTTAGGATCATCTTTTGATTAGGATTTATTAATTAAGCTTTAGTTTTATTTTTTAGATTAACTAGAATTAGAGGTTAGAAATTAATCTTGACTTTTAGCTTTAGCTTTAGCCTTGATGTTAATTATTGATTAACTTGATATTTTTGTTCTTGATTTTAATTTCAGTTTCGATTAATTTTCGAGTGCGTTTGTAAATATACATGTATATGCCTCCCATAAATATTAATTTTGGTTTCGATACTTGACGTTGTCTGTGAATGCATTGCTTCGTGTTTACTTGTCGTTTACCCCTTGTATTCACATGATCCTCTAGGATTGCTAGCTCGACTTAATTTCCGATTAAGTTAGAGGTAGGAGAGACATTAGGCTTTCAATCCGAGCATAATAACATTAGGTAGGTTTCTCTCCTAATCCTGATCTTAGGGTCATTTTGTATGATAACAGTTAGGGTTCAGTTTTCCCTAGACCTTCTGTGTGTCTCTCTTTTCTCATCTCAAATTCCCTTAAGACGCCTAATAAAGAACGATAAATTTCGTACACTACGAGCCTTAAGAACATGAGGAATGACGAGTGGGGGGTTTCTCCTCGCTTATCTAGAGTGTTTAGCGTATGCCCTTTGGGCGATATGCGATGCATTCGCTTTCGTGTTATAATCTTTAGTGCAACGTGAGTCTCAAACTAACTCAATCCATTTCTCTAAAACTCACAAACAAAATTCAAATCTTTTTTATCCTTCGGGATTGCTCTTCAAATTCCATTTTCAGAAAAGAGTACGTGGTTTTTTCGTCCTACCGCAAACAGGCATCATCCCTAACTGTTGGAATGGGGATTTAACGCCGCTCATAAAAAACACTTAACCAACCAGTGGTCTCGTAGTTACCCGAACTACGTTTTCTCTAATTTCTCATACCAGATGAGGATACGTAGGTACAAGACGGCGATATCTTGGC